AAAAACAAGAAAATAAATTGAGTAAATTTTGCACAAAAACATCAATTAAATGATCCTTTTTTCATTTCCTTCCCAATTTATTGCAATTATTTATTTAATATTTTAATTATTATTATTATTATTATTATTATTATTGTTATTATTATTATTATTACTACTTATTATTATTATTATTACTACTATTATTATTATTATTACTACTACTATTACTGCTACTACTATTACTTGTAACAATAATTGCTCACTAATATCATTTCATGCTTTTTTTTTATTGTATTTATATTATTTAAAACTGTTATCAGTTAATTAACACCATCCAATCATAATTTATTGTCATTTTAACTTTATCTCATTTTTTCTTATCAAATATTATCATCAATTCCAATTGTTACTGACTAAATTGATGCAAAATATTATCAGTAACCATTGTTAATACACCTCACATTATCAATGGAAATATTGTTTAAAAGAAAAACACACGCAAAAAAAAGAATAAAACAAAACAAAAAAATAAAAAAAAAGAAATCATTCTATTTCATTATCGATTTTTACTAATGATTGATACTCAATGAATCGATGATCGATAAAAAGAAATCAAGAAATCTGTAAAAAAGAAAATAAAAAAAATCAGCAATTTTTGGAGAGATGAAATGATGAATTGAATCATTGAGAAGTACATTTATGTAAGTAGCAGAGCTAATTTGTTAAAACAAATTCCATCTTAATTAATTATCAATTAATGTTTCAAAATGGAAATTTCCTCCTTTTTTCGATTTTTTAAATCTTTTTTGTAAAATATTTCAAATTTTATTTTGTTAAAGATCAAAATAAAAAAAATTAAGGACATAAGTAAGACAAATTAATAATTTATTCGTTAAGAATATTGATTATTATTATTAATTAATTAATTAATTGACTCATTCTATGTGTTAATATTTATTAATTTAAAATTGCTGAATATAAAATAAAAAATTATCCAAACATTTATTTTTATTTTTTTAATCATCGAACAGAAACAATTTTTTTTCGCTTTTTTCTTTTTTTTGTGAAAAAGTTGAAGGAAAAAAAAGTAAAAATTGACGATAAATAAATGTTTAATCATTTTGAAATGAAACATATCAAATGAACATTTTTTCACTTTCTTTACTCTCTCTCTCTCTCTCCTCTCTCTTTCCCCTCTCTTTCTTTCTCCTTTTCTATTTCCTCTTGGATGAAATGTATATCGGATATTATGAGACATTTGCGCTTTTTGTTATTTGTTTTAGTTTTTCGTGTTTTTTGCACTTTTGAAGATTTACAAGTGGTACAATGATGGAAGTTGATGTTTTGAAATGCTTCATTTTTAAAAATGTTGTAGTAATCAATGAATGAATGTATTTGATTTCGCTTGACCTCATTTAACCTTATTTTTTGCTTGACCTTATTTAGCCTTATTTAAATTTGCTTGGTCTCATTTAACCTTATTTAATTTAGCTTGACCTTATTTTTACCTTATTTCAAATTACCTAATCTTATTTATGCATTTGACCGAAAATTTAGAATTTATAAAATCCTACAACTAGTTTCATTTTTCTTTATTGTTTATTTATTTATTTTTTCCTTTTTGTTTTTTTGAAGTTAACATTTAAAAAAATACAATACATAAGAGAAATTCCGAGAATTATCTGATAAAAATGCAATTATTAACTTTACTAACTTTCTTTTTTAAAAAAAATCAAATATCACTGATCGGATTGTTGGTGATAAAAAATTAATTGCAAGTTTTGAATTTTTAATTCAAAAAACAAAAAAAATAAAATGTCTTTTAAAAGCCATGAAAAGGATGAATGCTACTGATAAACTTTACTGAACCTGATATTTAACCTTGTTGAATTAACCTAATACTTAACCTTGTTTCAATATTTAACCCTGCTTGACCTTATGTTAAATAACCAATGCAAAGAATGAATGTATTGGTGGACTTTATTTTTGACCTTATTTAACCTATGCAAAGCTTAAATGTGTTGACAAACTTTATTTAACCCTATTTAATCTTGCTTGATCTTATTTAACGAATGCAAAAAATGAATATATTGGTTAATTTGTATTTACTGATAATTAAATTTCAGCAAATTTCTATTATACTAATAAATTTTTACGAGTAATTATAAAAAAAAAAAACAAAAGAATTTTTGAATGTATCTGATGAGAGTATGGATTGCATCATTACTCTTTTACTTATCAATTTTTGCTATTTGCGAATTACTTCGTCATATCATCAATCGTTGGCTTATACGATATTTACCACGTTTTATTACTGGTTTACTTCTTGAAGTAATCATTACTTATAATCATTTTCTTTATTCTTATTTACTTTATCAAAATATATTTATAAAGTTTAACTTTTAATTTATTGTAAATCTCTTTTGCATATTTAAAAAAAAGACCTCCAAATTTTAACTTTAACTCCTTTAATTTCATATTTTCAAATTTCAATTTAATTTCTTCAATTTTATATTTTTAAATTTTTATCATGGCTTTTTTTGACTTTAATCCTTTCAAATTTTAATAGTAGTTTTTTAAATTCTAAGCTTTTCATTCCAGTTTTCTTAATTTTAGGCTTCCAAATTTTCATTTCAATTTTCGTAATTTTGAGCTTTCAAATCTTAATCATAATTTTTTTTTAATTTCAAGTTTCCAAATCTTATCCTTCGTTTTTATTGTTTCTTTTTTAGTTTCAAGCTTTTAAATTTTAATGATAATTTTCCCTAAATTTTAAGCTTTCAAATTTTTATCTCAATTTTTTTGGATTATAAGTTTTCAAATTTTAATCCCAACTTTTTGATTTTTAAGCTTCCAAATTTCAATCATAACTTTTTTTAGTTTTAAGTTTTCAAATGTCAATCGTAATTTTTTTCCCTTTTTTAATTTAAAACTTTCAAATTTTAATGGTGATTTTTCTTAAACTCTAAATTTTCAAATTTTCATCCTAGCCTTTCCTTTTTTTTTGATTTTATGCTTTCAAATTTAAATTTTATTAAATAAATTTTAATCCCAAATCATTGTGATAATATTATCAATGATATTTTAGTTCATTGGTACATTACAAGTTTGTACGCCAATGTTTGATGTCAATTTGATTTTACAAACTTATGGTTTATTTGGAATTTTTATTGAAATAACAGCAATTGAAATTGCCAATGCATTTTTTTTACGAGATGCTATCGCACATCCATGTCCATTGGTACTTTGTTTTACAGAAAAAAAAAAATTTTTTTCTATCTTTAAACAATCATTATCAATTTCACTATCATTTAATTTAATTCGATCAATTAATTAACATTTATTTGAATTTAAAATTTTAATTTTAAATTATGCTTTTTTTGGTGTGCCATATAAATTGAATGTAATTATAATAGTGATTAAATAGTTTTCAAAAAAAAAAAGTTTTTTTTTGGATATGAAAATTAATTTTTTTTCCTTTCTAAAAAATTATGCAAAAATTTTTATCTTTTAGCAATCATTATCAATTTTACTATCATTTAATTGAATTTGATCAATTATTAACAATTATTATTTAAATTTAACATAATCATTTATTTAAATTTAACATTTCAATTTTAAAACAATTTTTTTTCAGATATGAAAGTTAATTTCTTTTTCTTTTTTTAGAAAGTTTTACAAAATATGAATTAAATAAATAATTAATTTTCAGGTGACAACAGCTTCACGTAAACGTTTAGCATTACGCATGGCATTTATGGTTTTTGCTGTACAACTTATTGCCGCATATTTGTCATATTTTTTTGCTCGAATATTCTGGAAACTTGGCTTACATCCATTACATGATAAATTATTAATTGCAGATCATTGTGAAGCTGATCTTACAGCAAGTTATCCAATAAATAATAATTATTTAATAAAATGAAAATAATTTGTAAAATTTTGATATTATAAAAATAATTTTAGCAATAATTTTAATCGAATAATTAATTAATTATGATGATTTAATATTTGATAATGTATTTCTTTTAAAATGATGTTAAATTGAAAATTGTTAATTTAATTGCATATATTGATCACTTTAATAATTATTGATAGGAAAAAATGTGCTAAAGTAATTTAAAATAAAATTTAAGAAATCAAATAAAACTAACTTATCATGTTATTTAAAACTAGTAGTAATTTAATAAGTAATTAATTCTTCGTTAAAATTTTGATTTATTTAAAAAAAAAAAGGAAACGGATTAGATAATTATCGGTAATTCAGGTAGCATTAACAATTGGTTCACTTATCGAAGGTTTAGCTACATTTAGTAGTAAAGCGGTTGAATTCTTTGCTAACGAATGGTATACTGATTCAAAAACGCAAATGCTTATCAATTGTATGTTTGCCGGTTTCCTTACTACAATTGGTATGTTTTCCGGTAAAAACTGATCAATTTGTATCCGGTTCATTTAATATTAAAAAAATTAAAATTGTTCAAATGATAGCTTAAAAAATTGTAATTCTTTCCGGAAGAATGTTCCGAATTCCGAATATAATTTATCGGTTAATCATATTGTTTAAATTCATTACAAATTATTGGCATTTTAATAAAGTTTTAAACAATAAATTGGTTTGCAAATTTTTCAAAAAAAAAAGAAAAAAAGAAATCGTTTTTAAAATTTATTTGAAAAAAAAAGGAACTTAAGAGAAGAGATATAAACATCACTTTTATTTTTCAGGTATTAATTATACAGGTATGTATGCTAATCCAATTGTTGCTTGGGCATGTACATTTAATTGCACAGGTGTGACACATCTTGGTCATCTTATTGTCTATTGGTTATCACCATTGATAGGATGGTTTTTGGGTGATGCAGTATTTGGTGAGCAAGAATGTGCAATCGAATGTTTCACTGAAGAAAATAAAGAGAGTGATTTAATTAAATTAAAAAATTCTTAATGAAAATGACAAACGATTTGATGATAAAAGAAGAAAAAAAAAAGAAAATCGAGCCAATTTTTTGTAGAAAAAAGTTACAATTTGAATGGAATTAAAATTTAAATAAAATTTGCATACAATTAAAATTGTATATAAATTAAGATAACATTAGTATATGTTAATATTTATATTCTATTATTGTGTAACTACCAAAATTCTTCGTTTTTACAAAAATATTTAAATTTAAATCAAAAATTTGTTAATAAAAAATAAAATGTATTTATTTCAACAATGTAAATTACTAGCATATTTGTAGCAATAATTAGCTAATTTGGAATGAATATACTTTCAGACGCACAAAAGTTAATGTTAGATCACATGTATTATACCATAATCCAACAACGATATATCGTAATTTTAGAGCTTGTATATATAGATGTGCATACGGTATTTCGATTCTCTTGCTTTTGTTTTTTATTTTCATTTTGATTCAGCTAAGATATAATTGAATTGAATGTACTATAAAGGTATTAAAATAAGCAAAATTATCTTTCCTAACACTTTTTTTGTAACAAAACAAAATGATCAAAGAAATGTATAAATTATATAAGAAAGATAAATATGGAGCAAAAAAAAAGTAAAATTCGAAAAATTTTGTCGAAAAATTCAAATTTTAAAAAAAAAGTAAAATTTGAAAAATTTTGTCGAAAAATTTAAATGTCATCGTTAAACAAAGCAATTCAAATTTTCCTTTTGAAATTTTTGCAAAAAAAAAGATTTCCTACTATTTAAATGAATTTCCGCCTCAATAAATCAATGGTTGGAAAAATTCTATCAAACAACTATCATCATTTCAAATCGACACTTTTGATTGAATGTGACAATATTCATCAGATTTTTTTTTTATCAATTTAAATAAAAGATGAAATTTTGTTCTATTCATTCATTTATTATCAAAATGATTGTTATCAGTACAATCAGTTAGGATAGAGAAGTCATGAATGTTTGTATTTCATATCACAACATACATCCACTCTACACATCATTATTGTCTATAATGTGTAACAATACACCTGTGTGTATGTGTGTGTGTGTGTGTGTGTGTATGTGTATGTGTGTATGTGTGTATGTGTACGTGTGTGTATGTATGTGTGTGTATGTGTATGTGTGTGTGTATGTGTATGTATGGGTGTACGTATGTGTGTGTGTGTGTGTGTATGTGTGTGTGTGTATGTGTACGTGTGTGTATGTATGTGTGCATGTGTATGTATGGGTGTACGTGTGTGTATGTGTACGATAAAATATTTCATTTTGAAAACAAACTTCAAAATGTTGCTCCATAACACTAACAGAGAATGAAATGATAGAATATTAGCTAAAGTCTCGTCTAATTTGACCAATGAATTATCTCGTTGACCGGAAATTTCAGTAGATGAGCAATTAATTAATTAACATCATCACATAAGATCAGTAATCATGATATGTATGCATGTATGATTTACTGATAAGTGAATTTTTTCCTGAGATCATCCTAAATTGGCTAACTTAAACATGATAGGTCATTACTTTCAACATCCAATCATTTATGAAATGGATTAGAAGGTACTTTACTTATGGTGAAGGATAATTAACCTTTTAAGCAATTTCATTACCTTCTTCCATTATCATCAAGTTTGTTTATTTTTTAAATAAAATATCAAAAATCTTAATTAAGTTTCGGGTATTTTCATTTTCTTGATTGACATGTAAAACAAATCCAAACTTCCGGAATTTCCAGAACATTGTGTTCTTCCCAAATTTTTGAAATTTCCGGAACACTGTATTCGTTCTAAATCTTCTTTGAGAATTCTTCAATACCGTTTCTCACTTCCGAATTCTCTTTTAGATTTAATTCTTGAAAAAATTCCATCCATTTATCGTACATATCGGAGAAAGCAAATCATAAAATCTCCAAGAATAAACATATACTAGCTTGGGATATTTTTACACATATTCAGTTGTATTATTTCGAAATTTCAATCATGAAAATCATCGTTACTGGATCAATCAATCATCGTTACTGGATCAATCAATCATCGTTACTGGATCTTTTCCGGATAAACTTTTCAGGAATAATAGAAAAGAACTAAACTGTATAATATCAAACAGTATAATGGGATAAATTCAAAAATGTGAACTTTTTAAATATTATCATTTTGAATAGAATATGAATGAGTATCAGTAAGTTGTATAGTGTTCTTGCAATTTTAATTTAAAACAAATACATTTGGCAAACAAATAATTGACAATATGACTGGGAAAAAAAAAGTTGAAAGTCTGATCAAAATGAAATTTTTTATTTTTTTTTAAAACAAACTGTTTGATCTAACTTCAACTAAAGTTTCCTCTGTCAAAGATCAAAGTTCAACAAAATTAACAAAGGATATTTAAATTTCGCTAAAATCTGACCTAATAGCATAATCCTCCCATGTATTAATACATGAAGCATGCATCTTTGTACATAGTATTATTTCATAATAGTAATAATAATTAATAATAACTAATAATAATAAATGATAATTGATAATAATAATAGTAATAGTGATAGAAATATTAATAATAATAGTAGTAGTAATAGTAATAGTAATAGTAATAGTAATAGTAGTAATAATAATAGTAATATTGTTAATCCGGTACCATTAGGAAGATCGCATGCAGTACTCTGCTAATGGCTTGATCAGACCATCGTGATAAGCGCGCAAAATGCACTCGCATACAAATGTATATTGACCCTGAAATTTATCATTCATTAATTAAAAATAATGACTATTAAAACCATGTGGTACATTGTGCATTCATAATCTCATTACGAATTATAATGACTAATTGAAATTATAATGACCAAATTATAATGAATTATAATGACTAATTGAATTATAATGACCACTAATTAATTAAAAAAAGAAAAATTAACTACGAATTCTGTCAAATGCTTATATCAGGAAGTATTGCCTGAGGTATAAGTTCCATTTTTTGAATTAAAGTCCCTTTACCATTGTTTAATTCAATTAATTGTAAATACTTTCCAGTACTTTAGGATATATTTCATAAATATTAAAATTTGAAATCAGTTTTAATTTTTAAATCATATTACTATTCCAAATGGATGTTATTGATTGATTAAGCAAATGAATTTTTGCAAATATTACTTTCAATTCGAGTCATTTACATTATTTATTCAATCATTATAAAGTAAGAATTGATAGGAAATTTAAATCTTTCATTTGATAAATTTTGGAAATTAATTACTACTTAATTTAATTTAGTATTTTATTTAATATTTAAACTTTGGACATTTGCTTAAAACCGTCCATGTCATTTTAATTAATATTCAGATACTAATTCCTTTTTTTTAATTAACAAGGATTTTTTGATTCCGGAAATTTAAGAGAATTTGGAAATGATACCGGTGTTTGTATGAGCATAGCCCGTTGGTCACGCATTGTCCTAACAATATCTAAAGGATAAACCGGTTCATTAGCTTCTACCAGACAAGCAGCTGTTTCCATTAGAATTAGCACACCGGTTCGTCCAATTCCTGCACTACAGTGTACAATAATTGGATCTACTGAACCTGCTCGTGCACGTCGAACCTAAATTTTGTAAATTTTTTTTCAAGATTTTACATATAAGAGTAAAAAAAACAGAACAAAACAAAACAAAAAAATTCAAATTACCAACTTGAATTATTTCCCAAAAATTTAAATAATATTTTTGTGACCCTTTATAAATAAGTAAAAAGGTCACAATTGGAACTAACCTACCTCATCAACAAAATCGATAAAATGTTTCGGATCATCTGGTACACCATGATCAGGCCATGCTGTATATTGCATTTGGCTTACCCGTCTCTCTTCCTTTGTCTGAAAAATTTTCGAAATAATCAAAATGAAATACCTTTCTTTTTTTTCTTTGTTAGAAAACATTTAAGATATTCATACTTGGCTAATTAGACTAGAAATGTATTGAAATTAGACTAAAATCACAATGTAACTTTAGCATTTATTTAAAAATTATCATACCATCATATCTCGAATTGATATTTCACGATAAATACAATTAATAGTTTCTCGTTCACTGATACAGGAAATTTGTAATCGGCCATAATCATGATTCTCATAAAGTTTAGGCCAATATTGATGGCATTTAATACGACCTCGTTCGATTGTAGTAGTTAGCATGATGATTGTTGTACATAATTGTTCCCATACCATATACCAAAAATCACCGGATGTATGTGCAAGTGGTCCCTGAGCTGCTATATATCGATTTACAATACCACTAGAGGGAATTTCCATCTATAATACAGCTAAATTTATTTAATATTAAACTAATTCATTGCTAATATTTAACAATAAATAAATATGAATAATTTATCAATAAATTTTAGTTTTTATATATTCATTGATCACAATTTGATCTCAATGCAATTCATATCAATGATAAATACAGTGAAATAAAAATTGAAAAAAAAGTACTTTGTTATACTGAATAGACATATTATAAAATGATTGTAACAGTAGAAAACAAAAATAATAATCTTAGAAAAGTACAAAGATCAAAGTAAATGATCTTAGAAAAGTATAAAGATCAAAGTAAATGATCTTAGAAAAGTAGAAAGATTATAAATGGATGATCTTAGGAAAATATATAAATTACAAATAAATGAAATGTTTACATTGACAAAGGATGCATTGATGTAATCACCAGAAGGTGAACTTATCTTCACTCGAGTATTATCATATGGACATACATCTCGATAACGATTTTTATTAACATTCAATGATAGCTTACAATCTTCCATTGCTAAATCTGGCTTCTTTCGATACAATTGCTATAAATATGGCATACTTTTCAATTTATTTCATGAAAAAATTTGAAATTATTAAATAAGTTTTGAGTAAAATTTACCTAAAAATGAATCACAGATAAATTTTATTTCCATATCTTTATTTTAAAAATTTATTTGTTCATGCATTTTCTAAATTTACAAAATAGCCAAATATGGTATTCCAAATACTTTCTCAAATAAATTTATATCCATAAAAATAATTTTACTGAAATTCTAGTTATCCATAATTGTACCTATTTTGAAATTCAAAAATTTTCACTTATAATTTGGTATCGTGAACTTATATTTTATTTTATTTTTCAAAATCTAAAGTTCTTTTTTTTCAAGTTTTAAAAGCCAAAATGGTAAGCTGATATAAAATTGATTTAGATTACATATTGATTGAATTTTTGATTCCAAATTTCAAAATAATAACCTGATATAAAATTCAATTTGTAACGAAAATAATAAAAATTAAAATTTACATAACTAACCTCAAACTGTGTGATAATTTTTCCAGATGAAAGAGATTCTCTGAGCATAATAAGGGATTGTGATAACTTATCAGAACGTGGTACTGTATCAGCTACATGAATTACTTCAGGTAAATGCTGTGCATCTGATTCCTCGACATCTTCACCACATCGATAAACTATAATTTCAAGATGAAAATAACATTCTGATTCAATTTACTTTAACTAGAAACATTTGAATGTTATATAATCTAACATAATCTAACCATTTGGCCTAATTGTAAGTACCAATTCTCCTTTCGGTGAATCACGTGTAGAACGTATGAATCGTACAACTTTTTCATGTGGCATCGAAGATACATCCATACCATTAATTAACAAAACCTATAATTTAATAGGTAAGTAATAAAAAAAAAATCAAAGTTACTATCAGCAAATAAATTTATTGATTAAATCCATTCATTTAAATGTTATAATAACAAATTTTAAAGAAATATAAGTATAGCACGAATGCTTTTAAAAGTAAACATAAATAATTTTAATTTAATAAAATTATCATCCTTGAAAATTTTTAATAAACATACCTGATCACCTTCATTTAGCCTAGGATTACATTTATCAGCAGAACTACCAGGTGCAACTCGACTTACAATAACTGGATAATTTTGATCAGCACCACCTTTTACATTAAAACCATATCGTCCTTGAGCATCTGCACGCATACGAATTACCACTAAGCAATCTTCACTGATTGGTGATGATGACTGAAAATAAATTTATTTCATTTCATTCTTGTAATTTTAAAATTTTAAATTAATTCAAGACATCTTTAGCAAAATTTTTCTATCTCTAATTTAAATATTTCCTCATATTTGAAGCTAAATTCAAAATTTCATTAAATTACTATCATTTTATTACATAGAATAGTAAATCATATTTTTAATTAAATCAAAAATACAAACAATTAAAGTAAATTAAATATTATTAAAATGTTTAATAATTAATTGTAAATGATAATGATTGATAATTTTTAATAAGTGATAATAATAGTATCTTTAATTCACAAGAAACTGCTGTGCAAAAAAAAAAATTAACCTGACGAGGTGATCGCCTGATATATGTTGGACTGTACCCGTTAGTTTGATTTACTACTGAACCGTACGATGAATAACTGAAATACATATAAAAAAGTTTAGTTAAAAACTTGAATCATTACATCACATTGATCATATACATTTATCAGTACATCAATAAATATTACCAAAAAATTGTCCAATTAATGTAATTAAATTAATTTCCGCATAAATGCATACACGTGTCCATGTACGTGTGCGTATACGTGTACGTATGCGTATAACAATACAATTATAATTCTGATATTTTTTTACGAGAAATGATTTTAGATTTTGAAAAAGAGAAAATAAAATAAAATAAAATATAAGTTCATAATGTCAAATTACAAGTGAATTTTTGAATTTTAAATATAAACATAATCATAGATAATTAAAATTTCACTAAAATTATTCTTGCGGATATAATTTGTTTGAAAAATTAAAATTTAATAATTGTTACGGTAGATTTTCCAATATCAAATTTAGAAAGAGTTGCATATAAAATTGCATTTTTAATTTCATCTCAAAATTCTAATTTACAATTTTCTAACTGGAAATTCTTTTATGAAATATAATATTATAATGAAATGACGTGAATTATTTGAAGAATATTTTTAAGGATAAAAATTTACCTAGCAAGAGATGATCGTGGTGATCCATTATTACCATTTTGTAATTTACCATTTGATACAGTACGGGGTGAATAACCACGAAGTGGTGATCCAGTAATAGAACCATTTGGAACAAATCGATTTACAGTTGAACCACTAGTAAAACCATTTGAAACAGATGTATTTGATGTACTATTTGTACTCTTACGACATATACTTTGATGACCATTACCGCCACTTAAACGATGAACAGTTGTCGCAGCTGAAGCTGTTGTAGTGGACGACGATGATCCACTAGCCTAATAAATGAATAATAATTTTTTACTTAAATTAAGTATCGAATGAACAAGAGAGAGAGAGAGAGAGAGGGAGAGAGAGAGAATATACAAAAAGCTCATCAATAATTAGCCAATAAAAAGATGGTAATTACTGGGAAAAGAAAAAAAAACTCAAACTTATTCAAATATTCCTGAGATTATGATAGAGAAAAAAATAACAATTAAAAAATTATATTAAAATTCCCTACTGATCTCTGATATCCTAAATGAATATAAAAGATAAAAATTGAATTTTTAAAAGTTTTCTTTGTTTTATTGACTGGAATAAAATGTAACAAAGAGGAAATTTTTTGCAGACTTAAAAATTGCTGTGAATTTAATTAATTATCGTCTGTATCCTTTGCGCTTTGCGCTCTTTTCATTGTTTTCGAATCAATTTATCGGAAAAGAAACGATACAATGATGCTATCGTTTAATTCTTCAAATCAGTGTTCAAAATCACATTCATTTGATCTATAGCGTGACATTGATAAACATAAAATGGGACAAGTATCAAAATTTTAAATGTCCCATAGATTACTCGTAACATTTAATTGAAATGACATAGGTCAACAATTTTAGAAATAGTTATACTTTTTCTTTTTTTTCCTTTCTTATTCTACATAATCAATTTACTTTTTTCATAAAATTCCTTTATTCCATTTCTCATTTATTTATTAGTTCGTACAAATAAATTTATATTTTTTTATATTTTGACATATCCTTATGATGGAATTTTTCAAAAAAAAAAGAATTCCTACTGAAAGATTTAAATTTTAAAAATTAAAGAATTCCTCTTATTTGCTAACTTTTCAAAAAGAAAAAAGATGTGAAATTTTTTTTTTTGAACAAATAAGAAATGCATTACTATTACATTGATTAGACATTAAAATTAAATTTGTGATATTGAAACGCTAAATTTCTACGAATTAAAAAATTCAACAACACATGAAGTATAGTAAAATGTAAGTAACACTTTTTTTTGATTACTATATAAAGTGTAATAAAATTATTTTTATTGATTAATTTAATTGATTATCTCAATTATTTGTTAATTTCAAATTTAAAATTAAATATAAATAAAAACAAACTAATTGCGTCTTTCCATTTGTAAGCATAGCAGTACTACTTGATCGCCAACAATCTTCATCGATACCAAATGTTGTCTCACGATGTTTACTATTTGGTTGTAAAGTTGCTGAACTTCCAGGTGTTGCAATAATTACTCTTGAAGATGTTTTACCATCTTGTAATCGTATTGAAGAATCTCGTTGTTTACATGATATACGACATACAGATGAACTTGGAGCATTTTCACTATAAAATAAACTTTTTAAATGATAATTCAAAAAAAATCTTTATTAAAAAATGAAATTAATAACTTTTCTTAAAGTTTTTAACAATCATACTAACATTACTTCATCAATATTTGGAACAAAAAAAAAGAAAATTAATTGTCATGCCAAATTGCAATGTAAATTACTTGGCAAATTGCAAAGAAAAATATGATCACTTATTGAACATGACCTTTTTGTTAATGATAATATGACCTTTTTGTTAATGATAATATGACCTTTTGTTAATGATAACTGTCATTTAAAGTCACAAAGAAAAATATGGTCACTTATTGAGCATGACCTTTTTGTTAATGATAATATGATCCTTTTGTTAATGATAATTGTCATTTAAAGTCACAAAGAAAAATATGGTCACTTATTGAGCATGATCTTTTTGTTAATGATAACTGTCATTTAAAGATACAAAGGAAAAAATATGACCACTAATTGAATATGGCCTTTTATTTGATGCTAATGAGAATTGAATTTATTTTAGAGCAATTAAAAAAATCAGTTATGGTCATTAATGCCACAATATTGGTCATTGCAGTCAATATACTCATTAAAGAATTTATTTTTTTAAAGTTTATCAATTTGTCATTCAATGTTTATATGCTTAGCATTTACATGTAAAGTTTTATATTAGCCAAGAAGAATAGCATCGTAATGATGCATTTTGCAAAAACACAAATGATGATATGTATTTGGTGATAAAATGATACACTAACATACCGGACTTAACACTTCTTATCATTCCGGATTTATCATTTCTTATCATTAATCACATCTTATGAGATGCATTGTCGGATCGCTCAACTTTGAAATTAATGAAATTCTGATGACAGAATAATAGCAAAAAGAATGATAAGAAAAGCTCAACAGATAATTTGATAATCTATTCAAAGATAATGAAAGATTTTAATAGTCATTTTTGGTATCGTTATAAATTAAACATTTGGATCGAATCAGATCGGATAAGATTGAATCGGATCGGTTAACTAACAAGCTGCTTTGCTTATCAAAATTAAAAAAAAAAAAGAAATATACTAAGGAATATTTATAATAATCTTTTATTCCTTTATTTTTTTTAAACAGAAATTATTAGCAATATCCATAGCTAACAAGCTAATATTTTTATTTGGATGCTAATAATAACTTATTTACAAATATTTCTTAGCATATTATGATAAATGGATCGGATTGTTGCTTCAAATAACAAGTAAAATCAAAAGATTTAATGCATAGATAATAGTAGAATTTAGTGATTAATAATAGAAGTAGTAATCATTCGATGATTTTAATCATCTCATCAATCTTTCTAATCCAATTCATTGCTTATTTCATTTCATGAGAAATAACAATGACTATAGTATGCAAATTTATATGCAAAACTTTTTGTTTTGCAAAAGTTTATCAAGGAATCACAAAGTGGTTAGACGACACATCAAATTATCTTATCATTCTGATAATAAATATTCCATATTTTTTAAACTGACCAGACGTATCGAACCAATTTGTTATTGATAATGACTATCCCATAGTATCATTTTTTAAAACGATTAGATATATACTAAATTATCTTATTATTGATAATAACTACTCCATAATATCATTTTTTTTAAACTGATTAGATATACCAAACTATCTTATCACTGATAAACCACCTAATCACATAATATCATTTCATAAATTGATCATAAATTATTTTCCCTTAAAAAATATGTATATTTTAGAAAGCATAATATAAGCAAATTTGTATCATTCATATTTGAATATATTTTAATTGCAGCAAAAAATCAATAATACAAAATTCATAGAAATATTTGTGTCATTTTAGAAAAAGTTTATTTAATTTGATAAAAATGATAGAAATCCCTTTCAGAAGAAGAAAATTCCTTTCTGCTTTTTTTTCTTCCCTTTTCACATGAATAAAACTTATAAATGAATGTAAAACTACGAGAAACTATAATCAAATTTACCCGGAACTTACCCATTATCCATTGGATACTTCCTCGGGTAAATTTAATAACAATAAAACATTGATCAATTTTTTCTCATTCCAATAGAATACCAATAATAAAACGAGTTTTTTTTTTTTTTTTTTGGTAACATCCTTCTATGATGATTAAAATAGTTAAAAAAAAAGAGACTTTATTGTTAATCAAATTTCAAACAAAGATAAACTTTATCTAAGTTTGAAAAGACATAAAGTATTACATTGAATACTTTTTTAAAAAATGTTTAATTAAGTTTTAACGAAGACAAATTAATTAATTAATTCAATCGAAAAAAGAAAAACATTAAATAATTATATGAATAAAAATAAATAAATAAAAATGTTTACCGAAATTTGGTCACATCATTATATTTTGTACCATACAAATCGATAGCCCATAGACCAACAGCAAATTTCAACATTATCCAAACCACTAGTTGACAATTTTAGATTGGGACAGTATCAGGATATCCAAACCACTAGTTGACAATTTTAGATTGGGGACAGTATCAGGATATCAAAACTACTGGTTGACAATTTTAGATTGGGACAGTATCAGGATATCCAAACCACTAGTTGACAATTTTAGATTGGGACAGTATCA